TACAAATAAAATTGCTGAGATGGGAATGACAAGCAACTCAAAGACTCAAGAAAACTACCTAAAAATTTTAGAAAAATGTAGACAATTAGGAAACTGCAACCAAGAAGCAATAGAAGTTAATACTTTCCTGCCTGACCAATAACTACCTGGCTGACATACATTCATTGTTTATGGTGAGTTTATTCATATTTTTTTTAGTAACTGTATGCAATCTGTATACAAATATTTCAAGGGGATCTACTGGAAAGATGGGGTGGGAGTCAGGGAGCATTATAAAAGAACAAGATGTAGATGTTAGGAAAAAAAATTGTGATCATGGTGGTGATGAAAAAATTGTGATGATCACTGGCACAGGTTGCTCAGGGATGCTGTGAATGCCTCATCCCTGGAATTGCTCAAGGCCAGATTGGATGGGGCTTTGAAAAACCTTGTCTCGTGGAATGTGTCCCTGACCATGGCAAGGAGGGTGAAAGTAAATATTCATTAATGTCTCTTCCTATCCAAGCCATTCTATGATTCTATGATAAGCAACCCATTATGTAGAGGGTCACAACCTGTATCAACATAATTTGGCAAACTCCATTACAATCTGTGGAAACTAAATGGGCTCATTGTTTTGAAATTCAGATCACTAATACTAAAGCAGCTGCTATCAATATCAATAGTATTGCTAGGGAAAAATCCTAGCAAACACTTCAATATGTGTATGTGTGAATCAGCATACTGTTGGTTCAGTAGAACCATGCCAGCTAAAGATCTGTTACAAAATTAAATCTGTGGCATAAATTACAAGAATTGCCTAATCTTATTTTTGAAAAAAGGTAATTAGGTTTCACTCCTACAAGCAGAAGGATAATTGGGTCCCAAAGGTTTAGAATAAGGTTAAACAATTAGACTGTATTTGCAAATGAATATATCCTGATTGGCACTTGAAAAGATAAAAGGTTTATTTGAAGTCATTAAGAATTTAACCCACGATTTCGTGAAATGCACATATGTCAGGCTAGCTGCTAACTTGAAAACATCTCTGCAGATACTTCTGGCCCTTGAATGAAATGTGATCAAAGGTTCCTATATGGTTGTAATAAGGACAGCATGGAATGACCCAGCTGACTTCTTGTAACAGTGACTGAACATTAGGATTTATTAGTAGTAAATTGTTGATTATTGGGTCAATGTATCTTGAAATATAGCTAAACAAAACACAGCATCTATTTATCACAGCAGTTTTAGAGACTAGTAAACTGAGGCAAAATTTGATTTATGAACTCACCAAAGTTCACACAAGTGAGTTAGCAGCAAAACAAAGAATGGTGCTTCTGAGGGCCAGCTTCCAGTCCAACACCTGAACGGCATGGGTTCAAAATGAATACTGCAGAAACAAAGCAACTTGACAAGACAGAAAATTGACGGTAGATGAGATAAGAAATATTGTCACAGAAGTAATTTTGTTTCTCATATGAAGCACAGTCTGGGCAAAATGTAATTCTGAATGATTTCTGGCTCAACTATGCAGAAGCATGGTCCTAGCCAGCAGTCTATGTCACTAAATATATTGGGCTATAAAGTGATGAAGCTGGTTGAAAACACAATGGAATTCAATCCTATTACCATTGCTGATCTTTTCAAAATTTCTTCAGCTCAATACAGAGATTTATCTCCATTACAGCACAGACACTAAGTTTAATGACACTCTTTCCTCACTTCATCGGCTTGATTTGAAATTAGAACTAAAATATTTCTTCTAGCAGGTAATTTGAGTTAATTTCTTGAATTATGCTTTTAGTAGTTATAAAATACAGAACAGTAAAGCAAGACACGGTGATGGATAAACCAAAGATGTATAAAATATTGTAACAATTATGCATTACTGAAATAGAAGTAACAGAACGTAGTTTTCTGTATATTTCTTTAGTTTTGTTTTTTTGGAATTTCAGAAACTGGCAAACATATCCTGGTGCATAACTGCAGCTACATCAGAAGCAAAGCTTAGATCTTGTACTTAGGAGAATCTAGAAGAAATAAAGGAATAATTAGAATGGCTTGAATGTATGAAGATTTTAATTATTCATAGATAATTATTTCAATTCTGTGTTTCATAACTGGCAAATCTAGAACAGATTTAAACTTTTAATTAACTCCTTGTTGCTCATACATAAAATAATAACTAAATTTCCTTGTTAAGTGGAAACACTGTTGCAGCATACAGTAATATTGTGGATGCAAAAATCTTAAACAGGATTTGATGAATTATTTTTATACCTTGGAGAAATAAATTGCTCACACTAAAATTGGGTCAATTCTATTGTGTTGATATATCAAGCATCCCTACCAACAGTACTGTTTGTACTGTTTTTGTTTTTTTTAAGTCATCTCAGTTACATGATCTTTTTTATACTTGTGTATACACTGAGTTGAAATAAAAAGTACATGGTAGTCAGTACAACTTCTCTGTAGCACTCTGCATATAGTCTCCTCAGATACTTTATTGAACAAATGATGTCTGAAAAATAAATCTGTTGTTTAGGGTGTTCAGTAAGGTCTTTGAAATGTTATCTACTATTATTATCTATCTAATATTATCTACTATTCCAGAAGGATATAGAGATTAGCTCCATTAGTAAAACAAACAAAATAGAAAAAAGTCCTTAGAAGTTTATCAACCTAATTATCGTGTGTATTTATAGGTTTCGTCACTAAACATAGCTAGAAAGATATTTGGAATATATATCACACGGTGTAAATTGTGAAAATAATAGCTAAGTGTAGATGCAATCTTCCCTTCTATGACTCCTTTCTTTCTACTTCACAGAAGAAAACACATCCTTCTATAAAAATGTTCTTGGAGGGTTCTGCATTATTTACTGCCAGACACTAATGAACTTGTGTATTGCATGAGATGCTGAATCAATCAATTCTCACAGGACCTCCATGCTGCTGTGTTGGGCAGGGCTGGCTGTCAGGGCCATGTCTCTCCTCTCCTGACACCAAGCATATGCACACAACAGCCTGTGTAGATGCAGTTTAACTTGCAGTTTTCATAACAAAGGCAAATCAGTGCAGAGCCCTTCTCATCTAACTTACATTCTTGAGCATACCATCCATTCTGTCAACAAACAAATTTAACTGGGAAAAATAAATAGATAAAATTAAAAAAAAAAAAAAAAAAAAAAAAGCCTGGATGGGATGAAGAAGACAGAAGAAGAATCTATTCTTATTTTGCTACAGTCTAGCTGTGCTGCTTATTGGGCCAAACTCAAAACGGTTGCTTCCATGGGTAAGCAACAGAATGGAGATCTGCTGCCTGTAGTTCTAGCAGCAGTTATTCTTGCTTGTAGTTCATTAGCCAGCCCTTCACAGGACGTTGTGATAACCTGCAGATACACATCAGTGGCCTCAGAGCTTTTTCTGGAGGCCTTGACCATAGTTCTCTATACCTGAATTGATTCACTTATAGTATGGTCATCTGCCTAATGTAATCTTCCTACAGCGCTGCCTAAAGTCTAAAGGAGTTTTCAATTCAGGCCAAGAAAGGCTGAGTTCAAACTGTAGGAAGTTACTCATGACTTATTACAGGAATTGATATCCCTTTAGCTAACAGGTGGCTGAACAAGAGCTAAGCAAAAAGGATTTCAGGTGTAACCATCTCAAATTGGAATATCTGCCTGCGTGACTCAGGAATATTACTGGGAAAGCTGATGACCTGCCTTGAGAGTTTATGCTTCAGGGATGTCATGGTCTGAAAAATAGGACAGCTGCTCTGTTGTTGCATTGCTTTACTATGGTGGTTACAGTTTATTTTCAGCAGAAATAGATCAGGACTTTGTTCTTTATCTTTAGCTGTCTCTCTGTGCTGCCTTCTATCGAAAGAATGATTTAACTGGTACAAGTATCACAGTGAGAAATGGGATGGTAAGAAAAAGAGAAAACACTCATGCCAGTCCTATTTTATTTTTTCAGTCTCAACAATAGGTAAAGTTTTGCCAGACACCACATAAGGGTCGCTTAAGCTCAGCTTTGGGTTTGTCTTAAGCACTTATATCTCTTTGACATTTGGTAATGCAGAGCTCCCTAAAAGCTAGTTTTGTAAACAGCGCTTCAGCATCTAGGTTGGTTAGCAGACTTTGAATGTGTCACACAGGATCCTTTCTGTTGAATACTCCCCTGAAAATTTCTTACTGAAAAGGCAAGCACAAGTAAATGTTCAAGGCAAGCCTTGAAGAAATTCTTGGATCCTACATCCCATTTGCTATGTGCTTTCCCTTAGATGTTTCTGGTGGTTTTTTCCTTCTTTTCAGTTATGTTTTTGTCTTCTTTTAAAAAAGAAACAAATAAACAAAAACATTATAGTAGCTGAACTTTTCTGTTTCCAAGAAAGGGGGAATGGAGTGAGGAAACGCCAATAAAACACAGCCTTAAGTGAAGAGTTCACATTGATGATCACAAATCTAAATCCCTGAGATTATTACCAAAGAACCGTATCAGGCTTAAAATAATTCCTGTCTTCCCCTGATCTTGGAAGGTTTCCAGGGGAGAACTTCACATTCTGGAGAGCATTAATGCAGGTTATGTAGGGATAATCCAGAGGCTTTATTTAAGGATCATATGTTACATTAGCTTACTTCTAGAAGGTGCAAGGATAAAATCTTACCATCTTGAAGAGAATGAAAGAGAGGAAAAGTATTATATCAGGGTGCAAATTAAAATTTTCAGCAAAAAATACAGCACATTAAATTCCAGCAGACTGATTTCTTATTTTTATTTTTTAAAAAAGCAAAAAAATAAAACCCCAAAAACCTCTACGTAAAGTAGCAACCGGTAAAGGTTTATTATATTCAGAGAGGATTGCTTTTATTCCTTTTTGGGAAACAAGAGTTCTTAATAGAATAAAGATTCTGACTCTTTGTACATGGGTATAAATGCAGGGTAATTGATTACCAGGAAATAGGTTTATTTATACCACAGAAAATAGTATTGGTCTTGTCCTTTTTCCTTTCCAGAGGTACTGAGGAAAGTTGACCGTCACTTTTTTCAGTAAGTGGTGTCATAGAAGTGAAATTCCAGTCAATATGGAATTAGGACAAGGATACTATGGGTAGAAAATCAATATCCATAAAAAATCTGGGTTTGTAAAGCCTCCTTTGGAAGACCTTGTGGAAGGAGTACCTGCTGACATGTCTATGCTCATGCCCTCAGGTAAGTACATAACCTAGGCAGATGGAAATCTAAAAAAGGGTGGGAAAAATAAACTGGGATTTTCTACCTCAGCTTTCTTACATTTTAGCTGTCTGATTGCAATTTCATGTTTCCGGAAAAGCAGCACTGCCCACAGGAAGCCTTGCATTCTCCAGAGACAACAGATGCTGTAGGGTGCAAACAGGTTAGAAGACAAAAGAAAGTTTGAAAATAAGTTTCAAGCTTCAATCAATGCAGCAACCTGAGAATGTTCTGCAGTCCAAGAAGTGCTCCAGGAACAAGATTCACAAGACAGCTATACGCAAAAAGGAATGTATGATGTTTAGGTACTACTCTAATGCAACTGACTTTACTTTAAGACACAAAGCTTTTACCTGAAGGCACTGTAAAAACTATTCAGAGCTATCGCAGGTGTCTGTCACCTAATCTGAATCTCTGAAGTCATCAATGACATTGTGCTGTAAATGACACTTAATGGGCTGGAAAAATCAAGGCAGGCTTGCTAGGCTCATTCTACTTTCAAGTTCATACAGAACACGGAAGACACTGTGTTTAATCATATATCCAGTCACTACTCGGCGTGTTTCTGATGGAGAACAGCAAGTCTTACTCATTATACTATTCCCTTATCATATTTTCTTATGAGTATCTTCTATGGCTTTTTTAACGTACAGTCAATGTATTAACCATTACACATGTACTTTTTTTTGAAGATGTGCAAGGAAATGTACACCAATTCATTATTTATTTTCAAATCTGATGTTCTTAAGTCTTTTTTTTTTTATGATTATACAGTTGCCTGGGGTCTTTTTTCCATCCTAGCTAAATAAATGCATCCCCCTGAAAAAAAAAAAAAAAAAGAAAAAAAAGAAAAAGAAAAAGAAAGAAGAAATCCACACAAAGTTTTCTAGTGCAGTGTAGATATTTTGGGGGTTCACATGCTGTTCATGCACTATAGTTAAATTCTGTGGCAAAGATCTTATTTTCTGGAAAGATTTTGTGCCTGGCTGGGTTAAAGCTGGGTTATGGTCTATTAGCATGATGGATATCATGCTCTAAGGGTAGTGTCTGGAAACCATTTGTATAAGTTTATGTGGTGCCCAAGGGTGACAGTTCAAAATTCCTTAGAAAAACAGCAAATCCATCTTCCCAAAGTATGCTCTTTAGCCTGAGTCACCTTGTCAAACAGGTAATAGCAGATGAAAATTCACTAGAGTTCAGTTCCTTGCCTGACTAAGCCATTGCCTCTCTTTCTTTTTTTGGCTATTTCATTGTTCAGAGCAAGAAGGTTATTCCCTTTTTATAAACCTCTGCAATCCCATGTGATCGAAGCATCTTTTTCTTTGGTCCTCAGTGTGATTCTGCCATATCTGCCAGATTCCAAGATCAGTGAAAAGGGAGAGGCCTGTTACGAATGTAGATACATGGGGGTATTAAATGTAAATCCTCAGATAGGTTATGTCAAAACTACAGAGCTGTTCCCATGGCCTAAAAGATCAAGTAGTCAAATTTAGGAGCTCTTATCACAGTCTAGAGGTTCCATAGTGGATTTTTCCTTAATAAATTTCTTACTCTGATGCTCCTAAACACATAATTTACACAGCACACTCAGGTTGGAAATGCTATATGGATGAAGAGGTGTTTAACAATGAGTGAAAAAACTCCACAAAAACTCAAAAAACTCTAGACACAGGTGGACCTATAGCTAACTTATGTTACAAACTTTGCACCTCTATTTTTCATTCTGACATGTTTCTTTAATAAAATACCTTTAAAAGCCTTATGAAAGAGAATAGCCTATTTTTTTTAACACAGTCAGAAACCTGTATGTTCTCTAGCCTCAAGTTCAAACTGAAAGATAATTGGAGAAGTATTCATTACATCTGGTTGGAAATTATTTGATTTCAGTTTTTGCTGTATTTTTTTTAACTGGGCTCCCTTTCTTATGGGAAAAAAATATATCTAAAGGTGGTTTCAGTAGAAAAACATTTTCCTCTGCTTTCCTCTCAGATCTGACATTCTTGCAGAGAACACAGAAATTTGCTGACATCCTCAGTATGTAGAACTTTACAGGAAAAGGTGATCCAATGTCTTTCAGATATTCTTGAGACAAAAAATATATATATGTCTTTTTGAAAGCTGCTAATCTAAGAATGAGATGCTTCTTTTTGAAAGTAGCAGAGATATCCTAAAACAAAGTTGGGTTTCAAAATTCACTTGTTTACTGAAGGGCAAACACATCACTCATGTAATGCTGTTATGAAATAGTGATACCTGAGATAGATTCATCCACAAATATCACAAGGGCAGCTCTATTCAACTGGATGAGAATTCAACCTTGAATGAAACTAGAATTTAAAATGATGGCATTAGAAAAAATCAGTAGCAATGGAATATTTCACCTTTCCTTTCCAAGAGAGGTTTACTCTCTAATAAATCCCAAGTTCATTTAAACTGTGCAGCACTGAGAGTTGCAAACTTATATTGAAAAGTTAAAGTGTTAGAATGTGGATTTGCCAGATAATCAAAAGCAGCTCTTTATAACTTTAAACAAAATCAATGAAAGATACTGTAATAAGCAGTCAGCAGTTTTAGTTTCAGCAGCTTGTCAAATGTTACTGCATACGTATATATTAGCTGCAACATGCAGCCTGAATATTTGCCATGGGCTCTGTGGAGGAGCCATGTATTGCAAACTACACTGCCATGGTGGTCTTTGCATGCTGGGATAAAACATAATCAGAAGCTGCCCTTCTCACCTCCTCTTACTTCTCATCTCACCTTACTCTTACAGGTGTTTGAAAGTTTGCCCTCACTTCTAGTTTATACACCTAGAAAGTGCATGTGTGAAAGTAATGATTAAATCAAAATTTACTGTTGTGTAAAGTTCACTTAGAAACCTAAAAGTCCTGGCTTGCCACTGTAAGAGTGAGATAGACTTGGAGGGTGAATCTTCCACTTCTGTGGGAAAAGGCTGAAGAGTGAACCTCACTGTGAGAAATCTCTTCCTTCAGAACGCGAGGAGTGTGACCATGCAATAATGAATTGAAAGTTTGTTCAGCTTTCTACCTTCCCATCAGCTCATCTTCTGGAGGGAACTTCACTACAACGAACCTGTCACAAAGAAGCATACTTCTTCCATTTTCTCTTTTCCAGGACTTCTTTCTGACTCGTGTTACCAAAGACATCAGGTTAATGTCAGTTAACAAAGTGCGAAGTTAATAGCTGCACTGATTTCATGAAATCATAAGCAGTCAAAAGAAATGTCCTCTGATGTACTCAAAGCTTGCTGGAAATGAGGAACAGTTTCAGAGTTTGGTATTTTATTCTGTTTTGGGGGGGGGGAAGAGATTTTATTAGCCTGAATTGTTTTTCAGCCCATTACAAGTTTTGCTGAAGTCTTGTATAGCTCAAAGGGATTAGAAAGCAAATATTTATCTCCGTTGTTTCAGTCTGTTTACTTTGCATTTGACTGAACTTTGGATATTGCCAATTTCACAGCAAATAACTACCCGCTGGCAGGATCAGGGAGCAGTGGTAATTGTGATTCCAGCTGTCACGTTTCTTCTCCTGAGGAGCTCTGGGACAATGAAGTTGCTTTTTGCCCTTTTTTATGAGCTGTGCCCAGCACATTAAAAGAGCTATTGGGATTTTTGCCACTGGCTTCTATTAGCAACCTTCTTCAAAGCTTACTATTGCTGGTACCTGCCCTATGCTTATACCTTATATTAGAGAATTAGCAGGTAATAAAGATGGTAAAGAAACAAGGAAAATCAAACTTTTCCAGCTCTCCCAGAAAACAGGTTAATGCTTCTTTTACTGCTCTTCAAAAAGGAGCTTAATGACTGCTTTATTCCAAACACAGCAAAGCACTTTTTATACAGATTTAGCTCTGGGTGATGACATAATACTGTGGAAAGCTGACTACTCATGTAAGGGTACACTTGTAGAAAACAGCTTAGAGATATTTTTGGGACAAACCAAAGGCAGAGTTCTTGATCAGCTAAATCCTTTTTGAGATTCTCAGAGCCTTCTAGACAGTCACAGTAGGAATCGTTGGAATGTCATTTAGCATGGCACTAGTCAGGTAAAATTGCTGCTGTCTCAGAAGCAAATGGGAAACATTCTGAAAAAAAAAATTAAAAGTTGTAATAAATAACACCGTGTTCCTGGGAGATTGTAATGGCAAAGAGGAAGAATGAAACACTTCTCATTTGCAGGAATTATTGGAAGGGAGAAGACTCATTGCACCTTCATTCTTTTTTTCAGAGTCTGCAGAATCCTGTGATGTTCTTCACATGAGGAGTCCAAACCTATCCCCCTGGAAAAGTAAAGCTAGGTGTGCCTGTAAATCTTAGGAGGATTTTGGCTGAAAATACAATTCCAGCCAGCTCTGCAAAGTATTTCATCTGTAATCTGCTGGCCTTAATGAACGCTTTGTATTCCAGCTGTCTCATTCAAGCCTAACATTCAAAATGAGCTGTATTAATAAAAAATGAACTAAATTACTTAATTCAGAATTCAGATATTGAGCACAATGAAATTAAAAAAAAAAAAGAAAAACACCCAACCAAATATGCAGTTAACGACATACAGCATATATCTTTTCCTGCAAGCATGAACTGCCAGGCTTCAGTGGAGCTATTAGTGAGAGGGAGCAGCAAGTTTTAGTTATATTGCCATTTCTGAGACTATTGCAAATTGAGGCATCTCCACTGAAGTCAGGCACTTCAGATCTGTAAGGTGAGACAGAGTTTTCTGCCACCTGCATGATTAAAACACGGCCACCCTGTGAGTATTGAAGTCCTAATCTAACACTGTTCTCAGCAGAGATGCTGGCTAATATGACAGATATGGTGGTTTTTGAAAAGAAACACACAACAGCCAATCACTAACTTGTTGACCAGGCTAAGGTGCAACCGCTGTGCAGAAGTGTAAGTAAGTTCTTCAACTAAATGCCTCAGAAGTCTTTTTGATTCAGTATTTCTAATATAGAGATTCCCTCTATTGCCCATAAATTGGACTTTCTTGATATTTAAATTGGAAAATAATCATCCTTTTTTTCTAAAATTATGTTTGAGTTGTTTGATAGCAAAAATTTTAGTTAAGCTGTAATGAAATAAATATCCATGGTACTAGAATAATGTATTGAAATAAATTTGATTAAAGTGCTGGAGATAACAAACAAGAATTGTACACTGTGCAATAAAAAGAATATGAAGGTCCTTGGTAAATTCAGAGGCAAGGGGCTATGCGCAACATCAGCTGGGACCAAGCCACAGCAAGCAAGCATGCTTGTATATGGCAAGGCATCTGCTTTAAACAAGAGTTTAGAAACCTTCTGAAAACTCTGTCAAGCTTGCAGCATTCGTCAAAAGAAAAGTCCTAAACAAGAAAGTCAGCAGTCCTCCAAATATTCCCCAGATTGACACCTGTATCTGCTTCTGCAAGGGCACTGAACCAGAACAAATAACAGCTCTTCGTAAATATATAAATGTAATATTTCAAAGGCTTGCCTAAAGCCAGATGCCACTGTGAAAGTAATACAGCTCTGCACAGAGGACCATGGGGCCTAGAGAATATGCTGAAATATAGAGCTCAACCTAGTGAAGAGAAAGTTAAGAGGTGATTTGATCATGGTCTATAGATATATACAAGGAGAGAATAACTCTCATGCCAGACAGAGTTTTGATTTAACAGAAAAGCTGGAAGCTAGATAAAGTGAAGTAAGACTAACTGGAAATGAAAATTTTTGCACATTTTTCATGCTGGTCAGGTATTGGAATGGATTTTGAGGTATGTGACAGTTTGCTCAATTCTTGACTCTTTTAAATCAGTTACCTCTCTTCTCTTGAGATGTGGTGTCATTCAAGTGCATCTCTATTAAGCAGAAGGTAGAACTCGTTTGGAGGAATTTTATGCTATGACTTCATGAACTTCAAACCAAGTGATCATAAATGCTTCTCTCTGGCAACAACACCTATAAATAGAACTTCTGCCCTCGATGATGTCAAGAGCAATTTTCACCCTGCTGTCTGTGGTAGGAGGGTTTTATTTCTCAAAAGTGAGAAATGCTCACGTTTGCAGTTTGTGTTCTTGGTTCCAAATGGCTTAATATCACCTAACTACATTTAGTGATTTCTTATCTATTAAATTAGAAAGTAACGCTGGTGGTGCTGCAACCACTACAGAAGCCTGCACACATCACCCATTAACACTGATTCTTTTTATGTGACATTCACTCTACTCCTCTCACTCTCGTACCACGAATGTCAAAATATTAGTGAAGATTAGAGTGATTCATTGGGCCTTGTATAAATAACTTGTAATCGTATACATTTATCTCAGAACTTTTTAATGTTACTATTGAAATTGAAGCATGCGTATTAGATTAACTGATTTTCTAGTATATTCACTTGAGACCCAGCTAAATCTCTTGAGATTAAAACTTTCCACTAGTTGGCTAGGTCTTGGGTTGTATCTCACAGTTCATTACATTTGCAGATCAGTGAGGTTTTAATGTTGCTTATTTAGAATAAAATAGCCCTTCAAGGCAAAAGTGAATGCTTGAAATAGAACAAAATCACAGAATCACAGAATAGTAGGAGTTGGATGGGACCACTAGAGATCATCTAGATCTCTGGAGATCATCTGATAAAGCAGATCCTGTGGAGTAGATTGCAGAGGAAAGTATGAGCAAATACTGTACTGTGATATAAGCACATGGTATAAAAAGCAAGCCTGGCATACAGATTACCACCAATTTGTATTATTCAAAACAGAGCAGTCTGAAGAATATAAATTAAGAAATGGCTACAAATAAAAGTTTGTAAGTAATGAATTGCTATTATATGAAGTTAAAAGAAGAGAGTACTCAAGGATTGACCTTTAGCATTGATATTTGGGCATCTTTTCTCAGTAATTTCAAGAGAATATTTCTGGTCCAATTATTAACTATAATAATATTAATGATCCATCAGTACATTTTGAATTGAATTTTTTCAACCGACTGTGGTGAATTTTTGGTTGAAACCCTCTGTTATTTTTGAAAACAATGTTAATGGTTAATTAGCATGTCTAGAAAAGTTGTAATGTATTCCTTTAAAAAAACATTCTAATTATAAAAAAAAAAAAAGTAATTATGATCAAATGTGATACTACGTGATATTATTTTTTTTGAAACAAATTATTTCCACTGAATTTTCTAAAGCTATGAGTAAACTACATCCCAGTGAAATTATTTGGTGAAATGAAACAGGTTATTTACTAAGGAGTTAATAATAAAGGTCAGGTCAACCAGAGTCTATTTTTTATAGTATTAATTATTCTATGTGATGTAGCTTTGCTAATGAAATAAATAAATTAGGTCTTCCTCATTGATCCCAATGCTTTGTCAGAGGTTACATATGGGTAAACTGTGCATATTTTGGGGGAGATATGTTATATTTGGAGAACAAAGTTGTCTTCTCTTAACTTCCTAGATACTATCATGTTGAAATTAATTGTGTATGTGGAGTTTATTTCTTGCTGATCAATTTTAATAGCATACAATCAATTTAAATGGTTTTCTTTTATTTTAATAATTGTTACCAAAGCATACTTTCTTACGCCTTGCACATTACTGTATCACATATCCAGTACATATCCCCACTTTTTAGGATTGATCAACAAAAGTGAATGGTGAAGATTCAGGTAGAAATACTGATACAATTTGTCACGGAGTTAACTAGTTCAATCTATGCCCATGACAGGGGGGCAGTAGGCCCTCCCCCCCCCCACCCCGGCCCCACAAAATGGGAAGGAAGGAAAACAAGAAAAAAAACAGTGGCAACAATCTATGGAGGAAAACTTATTTTACTAACTATGATATCAGAATGCAAGATAACACAATATAATACAATCTAATTGAATTTGAGACTAATAAATCAAATAAGATAGGAGAATGAGAGTTCCTGAGACCGAGTCAAACCTGAAAAGCTTGAAATGGCTAGGAAAGCACCTTCCAGCACCCACTGCCAGGCAGCAAGAGAGTGCCTAACCCAGAAGGGCCAGATCCCATGACTTCTGTAATGTACAGGGATAGGTACCTGGAATTGGAGAATTAACACTTTAATGCCCAGTGCACTACATGATGTTTTGATGCAGAATACTGAAAACCAAAAAAAAAAAAAAATACAACCATAAAACCATGACACTATTCCCACACACAACTTTGAAGTTCTGCATTTTCCTTGAATTTTTGCTTGAATTTTACAGCTGTTTACCTTGTTATTCACTGCAGTGGAAGTTGCGCATTAGGGATCTTGGAAAAGAAAAAAAAATGAAAAAAATAAAAAATGCACGCATCTCCTTTACAGTTCATATCCCTTTGTGTACCATCTACTGAATATATTGCTCCTGCTTCCACTAATACTACATTTACAGGTTCCTTCAGTTTGTATATCACAGTAAAGATACATGAGAATATCATATCCTGTAATATTTGCTAAAAGAAAAATTATATCTCAGAATCAGTACATTATAACTGTTATTTTTACAGGAGAGATATTAGGGGTAGTAAATGCTATATTTTTAAATCTCAAAATGGTATTGTACCTATAGCTGCTTTTTAGATACAAGTTCATTATGAACCTCTTTGTCTTTTTTCTTCACTTGAGCTACAAAAAATACAATCCTCATAAACTTTGTTACTTGAACTGATCTCAAAGTATTGAGTAAAGCTAACAAATATTATTCTGATTTTACAGAGTCCTGAAGTAAACAAAAATTAAGTGACATCCTCAGTGCCACAGGATGACTGGGGAGAGTAAAAAACTAAATCCTTCCTAGTCCAGTGGTAGCGCTCCTACTGATTTCCACAGGCTTTTCAATCTGTGTTGACAAACCTGATGCACATGCTGTCATTTCATGATTTCATTTTTTTTAAAGTGGCAATTTAAAGAAAAGTATTCTTGTGGGGAAAAAAAAAAAAAAATCTGCCTTTTTACTTTACTGTGCTGCCATCCGAAAGCAATTTTCTAGGCTTCTTTAAAATATTTTGAATTGCTGCGTGGGGAGTAGTTTCTCTCCTGTTATTGCTTTAAATGAACTCCACTGTACTAAGTCAGGAAATGATCATTTCAACTTTCCCAAGCAGCCAAAAAGCCTACACCTTTACATAACAAAATAATACTTTCCTTGCTGCTGTCTCAAAGCACTTTGCAAACATTGAAGTCCAAACAGCTCTGTTTGAGAGAGATAAGTACTGAACCATAATCAACTCCATTACCTATAGTGCTTTACCGTTCAGCTTTAAGCAGAATTTCTACAGACCAGCAGCTGCAAATTAAAGGTAATCTAATTTTTTATTCTGTGGATTTCTGTACTAAGCGTGTATTGACTTACCGACATTTAACTTATTTTTATCCACAATTGTGATGCTACTTTAAATTTTCACTTGTATTACATGGTAGTTGTTCCCCAAGCCAATGGAGAGTACATTTTCTGTTGACTGAATAGCAGATCTGAGAGATCACGAGCTGCCTAAAGCCATCCCCAGCCTTTACCATTTCCATCAGTATTTCTCAACATCAGTCACTACTAATCCTTTTTTGATTTTTATTTCTGTTCTAATGGAGAATTAAAGTTATATGTGATTTTCCTTCCTGCACCAATCTAATTGAAGGTAATAGTTTTTTTCTCTTTTTTTTTTTCTTTAAAAAAAAAATGGTGAAATATATTGTGCACAGGAAATTGCAAGTATGGGCAGATGAAAATTATATGTGAATATTTCAAATTTGAGAAAATATAGAAATAAATAAAATTCAGCACTTTATTTTGATATTTTCAAAGCAAACGTTTGGACTATTCTTAATTTCAGAAATGCAACTAACTTTTAAAAGTAAAATGAATGTTGAAAATAAATTTTGGGATAAACAGCAGCCTAAAATATAATTTTAAAAATTCATTCTGCTAAGAGTATCATGAACATGATTTTCTCCAAGGGAAATTTCCCAAAAGTCCATTAATGTAGTAGAACATATCACTGAAGGGAATAAGCTCCGTACACTCACATAACCTTTCTTGGTTTTCTTCTTTTGCAGTGGACTCAGATCTTTTCAGATTTTTTTCACTATAATTCATTTGTCCAGACAGTAAATCTACTCAGTAATAGGATCAGAGAATCACAAATGTTTTCTATTCTGATAGGATTCGTATTCTGATCTTTTCTGAACATCAAGATGTGTATGAAGTGTTCCCAGCTCTGTGCTATATTCCTTGAATCCTTTTTTCTATATCTTGACTTAATTTTAGAAGGAAGAAACGTGAGTGATTTACTTCTGTCTCACTCATATTGGAGTCACTGAATGCAAAAAAATTCCTTTTACATTTACTTGTGGCATGGTCAACAAAGGTAAGCAGAAATTCATACTGTTCTGCTGTGGGTTCTGTTCAGGTAATGAGAAGCCAACTCTTTTCTTCTTTCCTCACATTTTTCACCCTAGACTTCCAATTTAATGTCATTTCTCTTAAGCACTTACATCTAGAGGTATTTAGGAATAGCCAGTGGAGGTGCTAGTGTGCCAGTGGCTTACAGTTGTGTGCCCTCAGCACTTCCCCAAACACCTGCTTGCGTACTAACTTGTCTAGCAGCCTAAATGCATGCCATTATATCTGGAGCCAAAAGTCCTTATTAGAGAAAGACAAAGGAAATAAATGTACTTAACAATTTTTTAAGACTGTCTGGGGACAATACCACCTCTAAGAATGGTTCCATACTCAGACATCTCCTATCCTGCCCTCCATATGAAAAACTGAGCTTACAGAGGACTCTTCAATCCGTGCATGGAAAAAGACTATATTGCTGTAGGTCATGTGGATGCTGAGGGACAGGGATTAAATCTAACTCTATTTGAGAACTTACTTCTTGTGAACTCATTAAATATCCTTAAAAGTATTGAGCCAACAACCACTAAAATCATCATGCAGATGACATGATTAAAGGACTTCAGTGTAGGTTCTACGCTATACAGCTAGCCTTGTAAGTGTTGTGTTTAGAGAGGAGGCTTCTGTGGTCTGCTTTTTCTGAACCAAGATTTTTTAATCTGTTATTCCCTGTTATTCTTTGTTGAAACAGCATGTAATTTCACTCCCTAAGAAGACTTATGTGCTTTCATTTTGAGTCCACACATTATTAAGCACAGATTCATTTTAGTTTCATAAAACATTAAATAGCCTTCCAGATAAAACTGGTTTTGTTTCCCACATGTATAGAGTTGTTTGGTTGTCATAACAATGAAAGCAAAAATAAAATATGTGAAGTGTAATTAAATCACTCAGTTTATTTGTAGTGCTAATGCCATTATTTGGTTCAAAGGATTTCATTAAATAATTGAAAATTCAGGAACAAATTATGAATGATCTAGGAAGATGCTACTGTTAAGTAGCAGATGTGACTGAAAGATTGACGCACATGATGTCAATTAAAACACAACACTATAGCTCACTAGGGAAAGCTGAGATAATGATACAGCCCAAACCTTGATTTACTCAATTCTGTTTTCAGTGAAACCGCTTACTAAGCCAATGGAAGTTTTATCTGCGCTAGGAATATAAGATCCTTACCAGAATGACTTGCATGGTCCCAAGCAGACAACAAACTTGTTGGAAATAAGATTTCTGATCAATATTTTATGCACCGTGACAAGCTGGCATCTTTCACTTATTAGAATTTTTCCCTCTAAAGTCAATGAGGTTTTTGTCATTTGATTTAATTGCACTAGGCTAAAGTTCTGTTTCTGCAGCAAATGTACTGAGCATGCAGGTCACAAATTGCCAAAATGTGTGAATTTGTACTTAGAGTCATTGGCTTCATTAACATTGTTCATCTGACAGAAATTAAGGGGAACAATTCCTTCTTGGAACGAATATTGCCCATGTGTGCACTTCTCAGCTCCCAACAAGCACAGCTTAATTTCCAACGTGCTCTGATGCATTCAAAAAAATCAGGCTATTATTTTGTCCTAAACACT